TTTTTTTTAAATTCGCCTAATCTGAATGTTTGTTACATTAGAGCTCACTGTCATCTTTATTCTAAAAGATGTATTATTTCTGCTATTTACCTCCTCGTATTCCCTTCAGCTGGTTTCTCGGTCATCACGTTTGTAGCTAGCTACAAAAAATAGTGTCGACTTGTCAGCCTCTCTCCCTTTTCTATTATTTATTTATTTTGTGTATTTAAATAATTAGAGGTAGTTCGGTAAAAAATTTATTCCGGAGATTCTTTTTATTCTGAGTTATCCTCGCTCATTTTTTTTACTATTTTCATTCGTATTACTTTTTAACTTCGAATTGCTATTTTATTTAATATTTTGTATTCCCTTGTGTATAGCCTCTCCTGGCAGACCCATTTATCGGGCATCCTGAACTGCCTCGCGACGAGGTTGACTTTGGTCGTCTTCACGGTCTGGATTCAAGTCTTTGGGAACTGATCCCTTTGCAGTTCCACTATAGACCTGAGGTGCGCATTCTGGCTCTGCAGATTCGCCAGCATCTCTATCCTGAAAGCATTGATACGTCACCCATTTGGCAACACATCGTGGCCGAAAAAGAGGTATGAATCACGATTGAGAGGTATCAGTGTAAGTGGATGTCAGAATGAGCTGAGCCAGTTTTAAATGGATTATGATGTCTTGTAGTATGCAGTATAATGGAGTCATAATAGTTTGGAGAAGGTTGGGATAAGGCATTGGTTGTCAATGTGGCCTAAAATGGCGTGGCATTGAATAAAGTTGAATGTGGGGCATTTTGGTGGAATACTTTGGGCCCTGGCTAGGTTTTCTGGAATCCAATAAAGTGATTTAATTTGTTTTGTAAACTTACTGATAATTGTGAAGCTTATTCATACAACGCTTAAAATGCCCCAACATTTTCAAATGTAATGGAAGATTCATGTTTTTTCTCATCACCATAAATTTGATCTCCCTTCCAATTACCTCTGACTAACTGGAATCTGTGGCTGTGTAACAAAGAGGTGACTTGTCGTCAGGATATGCACTACCATGTCTCGAATCCAATTTGGGGCACTGGTGAAAATAGTTCAAGCTAGGTCTAAACTACTGTCCGGCCTGGATAGGAAAACATTTTGCTACACAAATAAAGTTAACTTTCGAAAGTATGCAGACTAAGATGGTGTGGCCTTTTGTGTGGTCGCAGTCTCATTTCGTTGTATAGAAGTTGTTTGACCATGTTTTCGCAACTCGGTCATGTTGGTAGGAAGACTTAGAGGCACGCACCTAGTCCGGAGTCCATTATATGCACAATCATTTCCAAAGTCGGACCGTAGACGTGGTACATTCCTAGACGCTTCGCCGGCATCGTCAGTGAGTATCGCCATTCTTAGTAGCATACAACAACTCGTCAAAGAGACAAGTAAGTCTATCATTTGACCAAATGTGTGCTAAACAGTTGTGGTATCTCCTCTTCTGCACCTTGCCATTCACATTTCCTATATCCTTCTATCACGTTTTCATTGTCATCACTTTTTTATCGTGCCTATTTAAATGTAGTGTGATGTGTCCTTTGTGCGGCATTCATGAAAACCCTTCACCCTCCACGCTGTCGTTCTCACCCCCTTCACCCTCCACGCTGTCGTTCTCACCCCCTTCACCCTTGTGCTAGGAATATTCATCAGAGTCTTACATATTGTTACATTGTCCTCCTCCCTTGGGCCTTATCAGAGTCTCCCTCTTGCTCCATAGAATCCGTCTGCTATCTCCCTGGTACACGTATTTCACTCGACCCCTGCCCCCCATCTGTGCTACTCG